AATTTCAGAATATTTTAAAAGTGTCCATCTTTTCATTTTCACATTCAAAAACAAACAAATTGTAAAATCCAAATTATTTAAGAATTTTTTCTCTGCACAAGTTTAAATGAAAACTACTCAGCAATAAATAAAAAATAATTTTCATCAAAGAAAAATATTTTACAACACAAAAATATAAAATTTAAAACAATTTAATATACAATTTTATTTTATAACTGTAAAAAATTGAATATCAACCAATATTAAACAAAAGATTACTATTTAAAAAAATATTTTTTTTTATTATAAGCATAAAATAAACGATATAAAAACAAAATAAAATTTGTCGGTTTAAAATTTGACTATAAAAACAATTCAATTTACTTATATTAAAAGATAAGCATGCTTATAAAATAAGATAAAAACAAAAAACTTTTTTTTTCTTTTTTCTTTAGTAATTAAAATTGAATTTTAAAATTGAGGCGTTTTAATAAAAATAACATAAGGTTTTAAAAACGAATTTTAAAGATTAATTTCACTCGATAAATTTTTATATGAGTGTAAAAAACGTATTAAGCATATATATATTTAAATTTCATTTTATAAAATTAAATTGAAAATTTTAAAATTTTTTTACATAATTAAAATTTTATTTTGTTTAAATAATAAATAGAAAATTTTTTTTATTTTAAAACATTTGAAAATTCTTTTTAAGAATTTAAAAAAGACAACAACAACAACAAAATAAATAATATGATGATAATTTATTTATAACAACACACAACAAAAAAAATTTGGATGAGAGATGAATAAAATATGATTTATTATTTAAAATAATCTGGGTCAAAAAAAAATCTCATAAAGATCATCAGCATCCCCATTAGTACCACTACCACTACTACTACACTACTCATTTTTTTAATATTAAATAAAAACAAATTTGAAAAAAAAAAAAAAATTTTTTAATTTTTACATTAAATATTGATTTATTATTAACAAAAATTAATTATTTAATATTATTTAATACAATAATAATAATTTATTTAAATATAATTAAATATAAATATATATATATATATATATATATATATATTATTCACAAACAAAAAAAAGTTTGATTTGGGGGGGAACGGGGGGGTGGGGGGCGTAAACTGAATTCGGTTTCTTATCATGGAAGTGAATTTTTTTTTTAATATTATAAAGCGCAAACTCCTTTTTATTGTGCGGCGTTGGTTTAGTAGGAATCCAACCTTTTTCTAAAAAACATTCTAAAAAATTTTTTTTTTTGTCGCGTTTTTTAATTTTTTTTTTATTTTGGAATCGTTGAACGGTTAAAAAACGTTTTTCTTTATTTATTTATTTTAAATTAATTATTTAAATAAAATTATAATGTGATGTGAAATAAATTAATTAAATATGCATTGAATTAATTTGGAATGGTTGATGCATTAATTTTAGGTAAAAAAATTTTATTTTATTTTTTTTAAGGGTAAATTTTTTAAGGGAGGAGTTAATTTATTTGTACTTGAAAAAAAAGAAAAAAAATCTTTGTATTGTTTCCACCCCTCCCTCCCTCCCCTGTCTCTCTTTTTTTTCTTTCTTTTGAATATACAATAATTTTTTTTTCTTTCTCTCTTCAAAATTGTTTATAAATAAACAATTTAAAAAATTTTCCAAATCAAAAAATTTTTTTATTTATTTATTGATATGTAAACTTTATGATTAATTAAATTATTTATTTATTTTTATTAAATTGTTTGACACATATATGAAAAAAATAAAATAAAATAAAATAATATTTTATTAGTATTTAATGTCTATTTTCATTATTTCTAAACCTTTTTTTTATTATTAATTTTAAAATTTTATTATTATTATTTATTATATAACTACAAGTCGCCGGCATATACATAAGTTTTGATATTAAAAATTTTTTTTTTTTTAATTTATCTTATTAAAATTTTATTAAAATGCAACAGAAAGAAAAGTTTCAACAAATCAGAAAACTTTTCCTCTTTTGTTATTTTTTATTTAGTATTGAAAATTTCTCGATTTTCGATTTACAAGATTTGTACGCCCCCCTCCCCTCCCCTCCCCGGGGAGAAAACCACTAATAATTATACCGTTAATAATTTTTTAATAAAACTTATAAAATAAACTTACCAATGTGACCCTTTTGCGTTGTTATTGATGTATCTAAAAAATAATAATAAAATATTAATTAATTTTTTTTTTTAATTTTTTTATTTTCAGGGTCGGAAACTAATGTTTTAAATTAGTTTTCAAGAAACAGCAAAAAGAAAAAAATATGAAAAAAAAAATTGCGGACATAATTTATTACATATTAATAATTTTATCATTGACAAATACAATTATGAGTAGTAGTAGTAGTTCATGGACGAATAGAAAATTTAACGTTAGTAGAGTTGGAGGTGTTAAAATAGGTACATTCGATAGATCATATAAAACAAATTACACATCGGGAAGAGGTGGTGGTATGGGTACGGGTGGTACGGGTGGTGTTAAAATAGGAAATGTAAAACCTATTATCACATCGGGAAAGGAAATTTTACCAGATATTGGTCCTAACAATAGGAAATCAAATTCGGATGGGAATGCAGTTTATCAAAGGAACAAACAAGAGGTTATACTATTTAAATTGAGATTGCTTTTGCCTTATAAAAGTTTCGGATTTAGAGAATATAATAAAGCTACAAGTTCCGCATTGAATATATTAAAAAGGGGAACGACGAGAAAATTGGATTTTTTCAAAAGATACGACATTGAAACACAAATCGAAACGTTAACAATGACGCCGAGTCCAATAAGTGAGTACTAATACTTTTACATATAAAATTTTCCTTTTACAATATTATTATTATTATTAAATCGACGAGAGTGAATATTTATTTATTTAAAAACAATTTCAATAATTAAATTTTATATATATACAATAAATAAAGTTTCGATAGAAAAAAGATTAATAAGAGATTAATAAATTATTCGAATATATATATAAAAGCATTTTAATTAAAAGTTTTGCTAGTCCGATTCATTATTATTATCATTATTATTATTATTATTATTATTATTATTATCATCACGAATACATTTTCCAAAAAAATTTTCCTTACATTTTCCGATTTTAAAATCAAATAATAATAATAATAATAAGTGATTTCGTCGTTGTTTGAAAAAAAAAATTTTTCCAATTTTTCATTTACGTTTTCCCAACCCTTCCCCATTTTTTTTTTTGATTCCTTAATAATTTTCGTTTGTTTTTCGTACTCAAATTAATTATTAATTGAATTTAATACGGATTTAAATTTACCTTCCGACCCCCCCACCCCCACTCCCTCCCTCCCCCGAGTACGTTTTTTCTCTTTTGTCAAAAAAAAAAAATGTTTGATTAGTAAGCACCACCCATCCGTGAGTGAGAGAGAGAGAGAAAATCTCCTCTCACGGTATTTAGTTAGTGTTAACAGTAAAAAAAAAAAAAAGGAAAAAAAAGGAAAAAAGGAAAATAGTTATGCATATTTTCCATAGTTGGTCCAAAAGGAAAGAATGCCAGGGAATAAAATTGTCATGGCAACATCCTGATGAGAGCATGCGTCTGTTTTGTCCAGAAAAAAAAAAAAAAAAGAAAATCTGTTATCATCATTGGGAAAACAGTAGAGGGCGACTCCCTTTGCGTTTGTTATCATTATTATTACTATTTTACACACACACACACACACACAATACATTAAATTTTAGTTATTTATTTATTTATTTATTTGTTGTTATTTTTATTTCGTGAATGTGAAAAAATGTGAAAATTTTGTGTTTTCATCGTCGCGTTTTTAATTATTATTATTATTTTTGTATTAAAATCTGATAATTTACAAGTGATAACGTATACATTCCGACGAGAGATTTATTTTTAACAAATAAATAAATAAATAAATTTTATTTTACAATAATAATAATAATAATAATAATAATAATAATAATAATAATAATAAATTGTTTAAGTGATACGAATTAATTTTTTTTTTCGATTTTATTTAAATTATTAATAATAATAATAATTTGATTTTGATAATAGAAAAACGAAAGTCGAAAGGTGTTTAAATATGGTTTATTTAATAATTTAACGACTAAAAGTTATTAATAATTAATTTTTTTTTTAAATTCAATTCAATTAAAATTAATAATTATATATACACAAATATTTTTTTGTTTAAATAATTTAAAAACAATCAGCTGAAATTTTTCATTAGTTTATATTTAAAAAAATAATAACGGAAAAGTTTTTAATAAAAATATTTCAAATTAATAATAATTTTATAAGGGAAACTATTTATTATTATTATTATTATTATTATTATTATTATTATTATTATTATTATTATTATTATTATTAAATTTAACAGAAAAAAACAAAAAAAAAAAATTATAATTAAATTGAAATTGAAATTTACAAAAAAAAATTAATTATTTCTATCATTATTATTAATTTATGAAAAAATTGAAAAAAAAAAAATTGAAAAAAAATTACGTCAATTTATAATCGTTAAAAAAAAAAAATTTAAATTTTTACATAACACCGTGTAAAACCATATAATATTAATAATAATAATAATAATAATAATAATAATAATAATAATAATAATAGTGATAAATCTTGTTCGGAAAAATAATAAAGAAAATTTTTTTTTTTATTAATTTTTCACATCATTTGTGTCAGTCGTTAAAAAAGGTTTTTGTTCGTTTTTTTTTCTTTTTTTTCATTTTCTTTCAATTTATATTAATCGATTTGGGTGTAGTTTTACCAAATCAATTTATTATTATTATTATTATTATTATTATTAATATTTAAACAATAATTTTAATAAAAAAAAAATATTTAATTCTCTTCCCCGTCCCTCCCGTCCCCCCTATCCCTTCTCGGTTAGAGATTGACATTGATTAATCAAATAAAATTTCACGATATTATTATTATTATTTAGTAATATAAAAACGGTGAAAATGATAAATTTGGAAAATACATAAATAAAACTTAAATTTCAAATAATAGTGATTAAAATTTTAAATAAAATGTTATTTATTTATAAAAAACGCGCCAAAGTTATAATAATAATAAAAACAAAAAAACATGTGAAGTTGATGTGAAAATTAATAACAATATTAATAATAATAATTAATTAATTAATTAATTAATAAAACGTTTATTTATTAAATACATAATTTAAAAAAATGTTTAGTGAATATTTAGTCGCGATTTATTTAACGTTATTTATTTTATTTAATTTACATACGAATGCATTATTTTTTAATAATAACGATAAAAAAAAATTATTTAATTTGAATTATTCGGGAGTACAAACAACAGGAAAACACGATCGTGATGATAATAATAATAATAATATTAAAAAAATGAATTTATTCGAATTTAAAAATAAAACAATTTCCGGTCACGAGGATTTGTTAAGTGACAAAAGAGTAACGAGATATTTAAAATCACCCACGAATCACGACTACGATAAAAATATTATTAATAATAATAATAATAATAATAATAATAATAATACGTTAACGATAGCAATTATTTTACCACATACGAATTTCGGAGTGCGAGAATATAAAAGAGTTACAAATTCAGCAATTAATAATCTTCATCGGGGTAGAGGTCAAAGGTTTCAATTTTTAAAAAAATATAAATTCGGATCTGAACAAGTTAAAAGTACAATGATGACGTTAACTCCGAGTCCTACAGGTAATCGCCATATTTTTTTTTTTTTATTTTTTTATCCCACTATTATTATTATTATTATTAAATAAAAAATAAAAATTTGAAACTCGAGGCATAAAAAAAAAAAGGGGAAAAAAAATCAATAAATATGTAGAAAATGATAGGTTTTAAATTAACATCAATTGATAAAATAAAAATAAAATTTTTTTTATGTGCTAAGAATTGTTGTTGTTGTTGTTGTTTGTTGTCGTTTGTTGTTGTTGTCTCAAGTTTCTTTATTATATAAAGTTAATAAATTTTTTTTTAACGGTTTTTTTTTTCCTCGAAAAAATTAATGATAATTATTATATAATAACTTAAAAGAATTTTACCAATTTAAAATTAAACAAGAGAGTGAGAGAGAGAGAGAGAGAGAGAGGGGGGGGGAGGGAGGGGAACCCTTAAAATAATAAAAAAAAGGTAAAGGGGGAAAAAAAATGATGATGATGATAATAATAATGAATAGATAATTATTCAATAGATTAACACAAAAGATTTTTTTTTTTTTTTAAAAAATTTAACTGGAGGGAAAATAAAATTATTCGGGAAAGCGTAAAATAATAATAATAATAATAATAATAATAATGTTAATAATATGGTAAATATTTTCGATTCGGTTGAGGCTAATAACAAAAAAAAATAATTTTTATGAATTAATAATTAATAATTTACATTAAGGTGGAATAAATTTTCTTTTTACATATAATTAAACGAAAAATTTTTTTTTATTTTTACAGCCATATTAAATTCGTTGTGTCAAGAATTTTTAACCGTTAACGTGTCCGCCATTTTGTATTTAATGAATTATGAAAAATATGGAAGGAGCACAGCATCAGCACAATATTTTTTACAATTAGCCGGTTATTTAGGTATTCCTGTAATTGCATGGAATGCTGATAATTCGGGTTTAGAAAGAGTAAGTTTACCTATGTATACATAAATAAATAAAAATTAATTAATTAATTAATTAAAAGTTAAAACTAATTAAAACACAAAAAAAATACTTGAAAGATTTTTTTCAAGTCGTGGTGGTAGAATTTTTCAACAACAAAAAAAAATTTTTTTCTTTATATATATTTTCGAGCTTTGAAAAATTAATAAAATTATTCAAAGTAAAAATCAATCAATAAATAATAATAATAATAATAATAAAAGTTTTAGTTTAAAATCTTTATAATAATTTAATAATAATTAAATTTTCAATATATATATATATATATAGAAAATTGATTGACGTTTTATTTTAATAAAATATAAAATTGTATCGAAATTATTATTATTATTATTATTATTATTATTATTCTCATAAATTTTTTTAATAAATATATAAATAACAAATGTAAATAAATAAACGAAACGGTTGAAAATTATCGGTTTTCTTAAATTAATTCATCAAATAAAGTAAATATAAATTTTATCCCTTTTCTTAAATGACACCGGAAATAGTTCTTTTTTTTTTTTTCATTAAAACTGGAAATTTCCGTTCGTTTTTCTTTTTTTTTTTTTTAACTTAAAATAATATTATTCCCGGTGGAAAATAACAATAGAAATAAATTGCATTTATTTTATAAAAAATAGAGAGCTTCACAATCGAATCTTCAATTACAATTGGCACCATCATTAGAACATCAAACGGCGGCCATGTTGAGTATTTTGGAAAGATATAAATGGCATCAATTTTCCATAGTCACAAGTCAAATAGCCGGACATGATGATTTTGTACAAGCTGTAAGAGAAAGCGTTACAAATATGCAAGATCGTTTTAAGTAAGTCAATTATTATTATTATTATTAATAATATATTTTTAAGCTATTGAAAAAATAGTTGAAATCTTTTTCATAGAGTAAAAGTCACGAATATAATTCGAAATTTTTTATTTTTTCTTTAAAAACATTTTTTCTAAAACCGATATTCGATATCTTTATGTGTCAAATCACATCAACTTATGGATTTTTTTTTTTTTATTTACAAAATAATAAAAATTTTTATATTTAAAAAAATAATTTTGTCTAAGATTAAATTATAATACGTTAAAAATTGATTTTCTTTTGTGCATGTGTGTGTGTGGGTGCGTGTGTGCGTGTATAATTAAAAACTACACAAAGGAAAATTCTATTTGAAAATTTAATTTTTTGTCTATACAAAAACGAATTTTAATAATTTATTTTTTACTTCAAGCTGTTTCAAAAATTTTCTTTTTTTTTTTTTTATGTCATATAAAAATATTCATTCTTGAAAAAGTTATGATAATTTTAAGAGGGATGAAAAAAAAAAAAGAAAATTTGAATAAAACAAAAAGTTCAACGGTTTTTTATGAATTTTTAAAATTAATTATAAAGAAAATCAATTTAAAATCAGAGGCTCAAAAAAAAAAAAAAAAAAGTTTTTTCTTTTTATTCAAGATTTACAATATTGAATTCCGTTTTGGTAACCAAACCTCAAGATCTTCAAGAATTAGTAAATAGCGAATCAAGGGTCATGCTTTTATATTCAACAAGAGAAGAAGCAACTCATATATTATCACAAGCTAAAGATTATAAAATAACAGGTGAAAATTATGTTTGGGTAGTTACACAATCGGTCATTGGTGACGTACAAGCTCCAGGAGAATTTCCTGTGGGAATGTTAGGTTAGGATTTATATTAAATATTTAAATATAAAAACCCTATTTATTTTTTTATGAAAAAATTATTTTCAACTTTTTTTTTTTTTTTTTACAAGGTGTTCATTTTGATACATCAAGTCAGAGTTTGGTGAATGAAATTACGACAGCCATAAAAGTTTATGCTTATGGAGTTGAAGATTTTGTTAATGATCCAAGAAATATTGATAAGTCACTCAATACACAATTATCTTGTGGAAAACAAATTGGTGATGGCAGATGGAAAATCGGTGATAGATTTTTCAGGTTGTTAATCTGTATAACCTTTAATTGATTGTTTAAATTAAAAACGTTTTAAAAATTTTAACATTTTACATACAGGTACCTGCGAAACGTTAGCGTGGAAGGAGAACATGGTAAACCAAATATTGAATTTACAGCAGACGGTTTGTTAAAATCAGCAGAACTTAAAATAATGAACTTGAGACCTGGTACAAGTAAACAATTAGTTTGGGAAGAGGTAAGAGGTTTTATTAAAGTTTTAAAGAAACTTTTAATAAAAACTAATTCAGTTATAATTTTAATGATTTTTTGTTAGATTGGAGTGTGGAAATCATGGCAAAAACAAGGATTAGATATAAAAGATATTGTATGGCCTGGTAACAGTCATACACCTCCTCAAGGCGTACCAGAAAAATTTCACATGAAAATTACTTTTTTAGAAGAACCTCCTTATATAAATTTAGCTCCACCTGATCCCGTGACAGGAAAATGTTCCATGAATCGTGGAGTCCTTTGCAGAATTGCTAAAGATGTTGAATTATTAGAGTAAGTTTTAATTTATTTTAAATTATACAAAGTTATTAATATGTAATAGGGGAGGGAGGGAGGGAGGGGAAAAGGTTTTTGGTAAGGATGTTAAAATGTACCTTTTTGTGTTCACCAGGCCTTGTATCACATTTAAAACTAATTTTGATGACCACTAAAGAATTAATTATAATTAGTTATTAAAAAGTAAAAATAATCAAAGAAAATATATATGTTGTTTTATTCATGAAAAATTTATGAATTAAATTATTTGATGTGTGTGTGAATTACATATGTAAATTTGTTAAATTTACATACGTATTATATACAAAAGGAAGTAATAATAATAATAATAATAATAATGTTAATAAGAGAAAACAAACGAAAAAAAAGGTGTATAAAAAAGTTTTTCAATATACCACAAAACAAGTTTGCCTATAAATTAATGTTTTTTAATCAAATTTCCAGAGAAGTTTCAGATTCTCCTAGAAATGGAAGTTTTTATCAGTGTTGTAGCGGTTTTTGTATTGATCTTCTTGAAAAATTTGCTGAAGAATTGGGATTTACATATGAGCTTGTGAGAGTGGAAGATGGAAAATGGGGGACTTTGGAGGTAAAACTTTATTAAAGTTAACACATTAATTAAATTGAAGTTTTATTGACTTTAATTTAAATTAAGAGCAATTAGTTAAAACTATCCCTTTTTTTTTTTTCTTTTGTTTAACAGAATGGAAAATGGAATGGTTTAATAGCAGATTTAGTTAATAGAAAAACGGATATGGTTATGACATCTTTAATGATTAATTCTGAAAGAGAAGCCGTCGTGGATTTTACCGTTCCTTTTCTAGAAACTGGCATTGCTATAA